GTCCTGAGATTTGCTGTGTAGCCTAGGCTGTCCTGAGATTTGCTATGCAACTAACTGTATCAGATTGACCTTAAGCTTGTTTCTCCTGCCTCTGCCTCTGAGAGCTGAGATTGCAGGTGTGGGTCCATAGGAAATGTTTTGAATGTTTAGATGACTCTTAGGGTGGCCACACCATTTTGTGTCACACCAGCAGTGTACAAGGGTCACAGTCTCACCAGTTTCTTTACAGCCTCTCCAGCCCTTGTGAACTGCCTGCTGTGGGCTGGGAATGGGACTCGAGTTCTGTAAGGACAGCAAGTTCATACCTCTTACCTATTGAGCCGGCTCTCAGCACCCCTTCCTTTTTTTCCCCCCCTCAGCTTTCTTTTTGTTTGTTTGTTTGGTTGGTTGGTTTGAGAGAGACAAAGTTTCTCTGTGTAGCCATGGTTGTCCTGGAACTCTCTTCATAGACCAGACTGGTTTGGAACTCAGAGAGCCACCTGCCTCTGCTTCTTAAGTGCTGGGAGTAAAGGAGTGCACCACCGTACCTGATAACAATAGCTTGCCTGCCTGCCTGCTTTCCTTCCTTCCTTCCTTTTTTTAGTTTTTCAAGACAAGTTTTTCTGTGTAGCCCTGGCTGTCTTGGAACTCACCCTGTAGACCAGGCTGGCCTCCAACTCATGGGGATCTGCCTGCCTCGGCCTTCCGTGTGCTGGCCTAAACGTTGTGTGCCACCACACCTGGCTGACAGTGGCTTTCTTAATAGATCTGGGGTAGTTCTAATTTTTTTTTTTGAGAGAGAGCTTTTAAGATTAAAACAATTAAATGGTTCTTTTGGTCATGTTCTGAGTTAAAAAGTGTAGTTAAAAAATAGGGTAACACTATATCACTATAGCAGACATTTTAAAACCATTTATTTTCTTAATCTTGGTTGTTAATTTTCTCTTTTGTGGTTGACCCATTAAACTAATTCCTGGGATCTTCGATTTTTGTTTTCGGTGCAGTGATTCCTTTTGTGCACAGCTCTGTGAAATCTGAAAACTACTTACTGTCTCACTTCATCAGTTAGCTAAGTTTTCTCAGCCAGACGTTAAAAAGCAGTCTGAGTTAATTCACACTAATATGAGACTGCCTTATGGCCCTTTAAAACTCTCTCAGAGGAGCCTATGATTTAAAAGAAATAATGACCAATTCTCCTAGTTGCTAAACTTTCACCTGAATAAGATGAGTTGTAATCAGTTCCTGGCATATAAGCAAAGTTTTTAAAGTCCAGCTGTTGATGTAGGCAAGTGTTCTGAGGGAGGGACTGCTCTTCCTCCAAGGGACCTGCAGGCTCTAAATCCAGGGAACATGCTGGCTGTTCCGTCTCTGTAAAGGAGCTGAGGCTCACATTGGACACTTGGTTCATGGTTGACACTTGATTCTGATAAAGGTATTTGCCTGCTCTCATTGAAAATACAAGTATATTCATGCATACTCAAGGAATTCTTGTGTTCACAGGTCGCCCTGCATTTATTCGTCCTCCTAAAGATGCATCCTGACTTATCGCCACATTTGCACACCGAGGAATGCAACATCTTGATTAACTTGCTTAAGGAATGTCACAAAAACGTAAGGATTCAGAAGAGTGACCTTAACGCACAAGTGAAGCTTAGGTACAATGCTAATGTAAAGTGTTTTCCCATAGCACAAAGGGACAGGGGCAGTGTGTTATTAGTAACAGGAGTGAACTGCTTGAAGCTTGTGTGTGTGATTCCATGTTCTTTATTACTGGCAAGGTAGAGCCCGTGCAGTCCTATGTAGTCGTGTGCAGTAGTTGGAATGCAAGTTCTTACAGGGAGAAGTGTCGCTTCCCTACTGAAGGATGCTGGGACATTTAGTGCACCTCCAATCCCTGACCATGTGGCATCATCCTAAGGTAGTCTGCTCCTTTATGTAAGTTTATGTTAGCAAGCTCCAGTTTTTGATTGGCCAGATTTGATGAATTTACTTAACACTTGGTAGAATGGAAAGTAAAAAATGAGCCCATATGGAGACTACATTAAATCAAGTTGGCATTTTTTTTGGTAGATGTTGAATATTTGGTAATTTTAATGGTTTTGTGAATTATTAGTGTTTTTCTTTAACATTGTGCTTTTATTTATCTCATGATGATGTAAACTGTAGACACATCACATTTAGTAATAGTGACTGCCACTCAGATGAGTGAGATTAGGACCCAAAGAATGGTAATATGTAATGCCTACAGTCTTTGCAGACAGATGTTGTATTGGGTCAAAGAATGCTGTTGATGACAACATACTTGGGTAAACAATTCACACAACATATATGTGGATCAAGAATTAGGCACTCTTATGCTGGGAGGTGGTGGCGCACACCTTTAATCCCAGCTCTCAGTAGGCAGAGGCGGGCGGATGTCTGGGTTAGAGGCCATCCTGGTCTACAGAGTGAGTTCCAGGACAACTAGATATACATAGAGAAACCCTGTCTGAAAACAAACAACAACAACAACAAAAAAGAATTAAGCACTCTTCCTAACTGGAAAACGAACCAGTTAATGTAAGTGAAACACAACTTACGGGTTTTAAAATCACACTGTCAAGTGTTATTTAAAAAGGAGCTGCTTGTGCTGATGTAGTGCGGATCATTTCCCTGCCGTGTGTGGTGACGTGTAGGCAAGGACAGAAAAGGACCGGGGCTGACAGGGCCCGTGAGACTTCATAGGGTGACAGTTCTCTTGTCATTGAGGGTCCTTGGGCTATAATGCTGGACATGGGATGCCATCTTTTCTTCTGTGCTCTTTGCCTTAGTGATTAAGAGTCAGGAGTTTCAGTCCTTGCTTTTAAATATTCTTTGTTGGGCTGACAAGGTAGCTCAGTAACAGCATTTGCTGCCAAGCCTGAAGACCTGCATTTGACCCCAGAACTCCCGAAAGCTGTGCTTTGACCCACGCTTGCGTGTGCACGTGACACATACAAATGTCATTTGAAAAAGTTATTCTGCGTTACATGTTTGTTATTTGTTTATTAACATTTGGTCCCAGACTGCTATAAATTTGAATAATTTTAAGCATTTGGTTCTGCTTTTTGTTTCTAAAACACTTCATACAGAAAAGGTAAAAAATCAAATTCTAGAACCAAAGATAATTAAAAATTATCATCGTTAGTACATATATAAATAGTAATATTTATAATCTTAAGTGTAAAATTTAATGAGTTTGACCAGCCTTTGCCACCATGTTGCAGTCAGTACAACTACAATCCAATACTCCCGCTAGTGCCTCGCAGTTTGCAGTGTGGTTCACACCGGCCTCGGGAACTCAGCACTACCTTTTCTGTCATTGTAGGGGGCTTTGCTGCTATGGCATTTGCTAAATGTATCCTTCTGTATCCTCGCCTTGTGCCTCTGTCCTGTTGGCTGTGCTGCTGGCTCGCAGGCTCCTCTTTCAGGGATTGGTGCATTGTCTGGGCAGTCTGCAGCGTATCTCCTTGCTGGGAGACATTGGCCTTGTTTGGAGTTGTGCTGTTTTCAGTAAAGCTGCTGTGAGCTGTGTTTACAAGCAGTTGTGTGGCGATCTTTTAATTTATCTTGGATGAATGCATAGAAACGGAATGACCAGACTGTGTGGTGTCTATAAGAAACTTCAGACTCTCCACTCTCCACTGTGTGCTGTTTAGTGTTCCCACCAGCACTGTGAGAAGTGTTGTAATCTCAGCCAACTCACGAGAATGTAGTCATGTCTCTTTTTTGTTTTAAGAGTGTATTTCTCCAATGGCTAATGATTTTAAGATTATTTTTCCTGTTCATTTTGACCACTTATACTATCTTTCCCTTATATTTAAAATTTTGAGTTTTCTAATTTTTTTTTTTTTTTAATGATTTGGCATCCAAGTCTTATGTTACTTCTTTCCATTCTGGTATTGCCAGTCTTTTAGGATGGGGTCTTACCATGTAGACCAGGCCGACCTTGGATTCATAGGGACTCACCTGCCTCTGCCTCCCGAGTGCTGGGATTAAAAGTGTGCACCATCAACCCTGTCCTAATTTTCTTCCTTTTTTTCTTTTTTTCAAGACAGGGTTTCTCTGTAGCTTTGGAACCTGTCTTAGAACTCTCTCTGTAGACCAGACTAGCCTCGAACTCACAGAGATCCACCTATCTCTGCCTCCCAAGTACTGAGGCACGTACGACCACTATCCAGCCTGTCTTCATTTTGTTAAAGGGGCATTTCAAAGGGAAACTTAAAAAAAAAATTGGTAAGGTCATATTTACTTTTTTTATAGTTTGCCTTTTTTTTTTTTTTTTAAGGCTGTCCTAAGGATCTTTTTGTGTTCCCTGTGGTCACAAAGATTTTCCTGTTTTTACTAGAGTCATATGGTTCTGCTTTTATATGTAGGTCTCTGGTGAATGAAGCTTAGTTTCAAGTTTGGTGTAAGGTGTGATTTTTTTAAGTTTGTTGTTTTGCTCATAGATACCTAGTTGCCTTGATACCACTAGGGACACTGCCCCTCCCCCCATTTGTCTTCAAAAATCACCTGATTGTGCTGGAATAAGTGTGTCTCTGGCTTTTAGTCTGCCCACTCATTCTTACGTCTGGTGTCTCTCTCTCTCTCTCTCTCTTTCTCTCTCTTTCTCTTTCTTTTAATTGTTTCTCTTTGTCATCTTTTTAAGGGGCTGAGGCTGTAGCTCAGTGGCCCACGTGCTGGGAGTTCAGTCCCCAGTACTGTGGAAATGGCAGCGTTGGTGCCCGTCTGTAATCATGGCCTTCAGAGCGGTGCTCTCGGCCTCCCCAGCGCTGCGCCCGTCAGTACGGTCCCTCATGCGGTGCCGACCCCAGCCATAAAGTATTTCAGTGCTGCTTCATAACTGTGATTTTGCTGCTGTTACTAATTGTAATGTAAATATCTGATGTACGACCCTTGTGGGGTTGCAACTCACAGGTTAGAATCACTAATTTAAAGCAGTGAAGGCAGGTGGATCAGCAGTTCAGTCATTCTTCCAACATATAAGTTCAGGACCAGCCTGAACTACACGAGGGATTATCATTAAATAAACAAAATAACTGTCTTAGGGTTTACTATTGCTGGGGAGAGACGCCATGACACTGGCAACTCTCATGTTTAATTGCAGGGGCTCACTTGCAGTTTCAGAGGTTCAGTCCGTTATCATTATGGTGGGGAGTATAGCATCAGGTAGATGTGATGCTGGAGCTAAGAGTCCCACATCTTGCCGGCAACAGGAAGTTGACTGACGGTCACACTTTAGGAAGCTTGAGCAAAAGAGAACTCAAAGAGACCCCCAAAGTGTCACACTTCCTTTAACAAGGCCACACCTCCTAGTAGTGCCACTCCCTTTAGAGACCATTTTCTTTCAAACAACCACAATAATTTTCTCAATTTTCGAAAATATTGTTGTATGTGTGTGCATGTGTGTGCATCCACGTGCATGTGGGTACGTGTGTAGAAGCAGCCGACAACTTGAAGCAGTTGGTTCTTTTCTTTCATCTTGTTTTGAGGCAGGATCTCTCATTTTTGCCATTGTGGTGGGTGAGTCAGCTTCTGGCCCAAGGTGTCTCTGCCTCCCACGTTACCCTAGTGGTACTGGGATTACAGACTCAGCTTTTTATATGATGTTGGGGCACTAAATGTATATTGTCAGTTTTATGGGGCGTGCCCTTTTTCCTCCTGAGCTCTCTTGGTATATTTGTTTTTAATACCAGAGTCCCACAGCCTTGAATGCTGTTCGCCTTTCGTTGTCTCTAACCCATAATCCAGCTGTGTCCTTTCCTTTTAGAGAGAGAGTCTCTGTGTAGGCCTGTGACTGGCCTGAAATGCAACCACGTCTTTTTAAAAAGTTGTTTTTGGCTATTCTAGAACCTTTTTCTTTCTTTTGGTTTTTCAAGACAGGGTTTCTCTATGTAACAGTCCTAGGTGTCCTGGAACTCACGATGGAGACCAGGCTGGCCCTTGAACTCACATAGATCCTCCTGCCTCAGCCTCTGCCTCTGGAATGCTAGGATTAAAGGCCTGCACCACCACCACCTTCCTGCTTAGAACCTTTTCCCTTCCTTAGAAGTTTTAGAATTAGCCTATCACTTGAACATTGTTTATTAAGTGTTTTTCATTTGCTGTTGAACACTTGGGTTTGGATTTTTTTTTTAGCTTTTTTCTTTTTTGGCAGGATTGAAATCTGCTGGCTAGGTGTGTTGAGAGTTTTTAGGACTTGTCTGGAGTAGCTAAATTCAGTGTGAGCCTAGTACTGTACTATACTAGTAGATTCTCTCCTGCCTGGGTATTAGTGAGGTCTCTTCTGTTTGTCTTGTAAGAACGCCATGGATTCTTAGCTGCTTTCAGCCTTTGATTCTGTGTGTAATTCTTTGTACTTACTGCAGCCTCGTGATGTGTCAGCTGATAGGTGTGGCAGTTCCACGTGGTCCCCTCCCTAGCTGACAAAGCCAACTACTCGGAGCCACGCTCCTCAGCTTCCCCAGGGCAGTGTTCTCTATCCAGGCAAACGCAGGACTCACCTTGATGCCCTAGATCTTTGCCATCTTACGATGACTTTCTCCTGTGTTCTGCCCAGGCTGGTTTTTAAGACCAGTTTCCCCCATTTA